GCCTCACCCCCGGGCACACGAGCCACGCCTCACGCCTCGTCTCCCCCTCCGCCTCTCGACAGGTGCTTTCGGACGGCAACTTGGGCTTCCGGCAGGCGCGCGACTGCACAGCGAGATGCTAACTGTGAGGAGGAAGAAGTTCGCGAAGCGTGTGCTCAGTCTGAGACACGCTGCATGGCCTCTCGGCACCTTCCGGCACAGGCACGCAAGATCGAGGACGTGCCCTTCCCGTGGCCGTACGCTCAGATGGTCGCCTTCCTCCTCCTCACCTTCTCGGTCACCTTCCCGCTCATGGTGGCCTCGCAGATGGCGCAGCTGCCCGAGCAGGGCCTTGCCGTCGGCCTCGAGCGGCCAGCGCAGAGCTTCTTCGAGCGAGGCATCGTCGAGTGGACTCCGCCGCTCCTCACCTTCCTCACCATCATGGGCGCCAGACACACTCCGAGACTCCGCCGAGATAGACGCCGAGATAGACCGAGATAGACGCCGAGATAGACGCCGAGATAGACGCCGAGATAGACGCCGAGACGCCGCCGGAGATCACTGCTGAGGTATACCCGACCTCCCCGTCCCCCCTCGCCTCGCCTCGGCTCGCCGCGCAGCCCCGCCCCTCTCCCTCCCCTCCCCCGCACAGGCTACTCTGGCCTCTACTCCACCGCCTCCGTCCTCGAGGACCCGTTCGTCCACCCGCCAAACGACCTCCCCTCCGTCGCCATGCAGCGCGCGTTCAACGCGCAGCTCCTCACCTCGTGGGACGCTCTCCGACCGCCTCCCCCTCCGCCCGACGGCGCCAAGGAGGGCGGCGCACCCGACGCGGCCGCCGTCGCCGCCGCCGTCCTCCGCGGTCCGCCTCCCGAGTGCACCGCTGCCGCCTCCGCCGCCGCGTGCGTGCCCGCCCTCGAGTGGGAGGCCACCTGCCGCCTCTGGCTCGCGTGGGAGGCGCGCTGGCTCGCGCGGCTCGCCGCCGACCAGCAGGAGCAGGCCCTCGCCCTCGCCGAGCCCTCCGACCTCCGCCAGACGCGGCGCGACCCCACCCGCAGCTTCTTCTTCCTCGGCTTCCTCCTCTACGCCGTCGAGGACGCGCTGCTCGACGCCGCCTCCATCGCCCTCGCCCTCCTCCCCTTCGGATCGCGCAGCAGAGAGCGCCGCCGGTGGCGACCCTTCTCGTGGTTCGAGGAGGGCACCAACGTGGAGCACTAGGACTAGCCTGCTCAGCTTCAAGCGCCCGGCCAGAGCTCTACTAGAGCGAGAGAGTGGTGAGTGCCGTGGCGCCGCTCAAGCGTGAAGCCCAGGCCGGAGCAGCAGTGCAGCTTCGACACCGGCGGGTTTCATTTTTTCGCCGTTTGACAAGGTCTATCTGACGTACACGTATACGTCCCTTAGACTGGCACGCAGCGTCCTGATCTAAAATCTGAGGATTAACCCACAGCCTTTCGCTTCAACCTTCATTAAGTGTGGTTCATATGTAAAGCGTACGCCTTTCGCTTCATTTGTGAATATTGTGTGGTTCACATACTCTACGGCTTAGCACTAAGGGTCACGTCGTAGCGTTGGAACTTTAAAACGGCTGGGTAAATATTTAGCCATACTAGAGCAATTGGCCGGCGCCCCTTGGGCGCCGGACCCGCCCCGGGGGCGTGGCGTGTCTAGTGATGTGGCACGTCTAGAATAGATCAAGAGATCAGTAGTCAAATCAGAAAAGAGAGGTAAAGGAACACTCCGGGCCTTCGTAACCGAAAGGTGAGCTGAAGTGCTCAAGAGTATCTGCGTCGTACTTGAGATCGCAATCTAACAAATCGCTCGTGGCGGGTGTCTCGTGGAACGGTGCATTCATTAGCACCTCGTACGGCGACATTGCATTGATCACTCGACATAGATCAGACCGGATCTGAGCCTTCAACTCCCTAATCTGTGGAGGGTCGAAAATATGCTCCATAGAACGTTCGAGCATATTTTTCTTCCACTCTTTCTCGTCTTTCGCTTTGAGTAGCTCTTTGAGCTCGGCAACGCGAGCATGACCGTTGAAGAACCGTTGAAGGAGCGCGTCGTACGCATATTGGTAGGGCAGCTGTGGGAATCCGTCACAAGCTACGTCACCTTCTTTGATCTCTTCAACACTGAGCGATCGGAAGAGGTCTTCTGACACGCACCGCAGCCCCCGCTCCGACCTTCGGATCTCAAAGTCCGTGATTCCGTGTTCCAAAGCCGCCCTTGAATCCAATTCCGTACGTGGCTTTTCCAATTGAGATAATTCCGTATTCCAATTCAAAGCCCGTAATTCCGCAATCCTAACACGCACCGCAGCCAACCGATGCTCTTGCGGTCTCAACCTGTGCATGTCGAGCCATTCTTCCGGTGAAAATTCACTCCAAGGTTGTGGTGCATTCATTAGCACCTCGTACGGCGACATTGCATCGACTTCTCGTCGCAGGTCAGATAGTATCGACGCACTCAGATCCTCAATTTGTGAATTCAGCTCCTCGATCTGTTCCTCTCGGGCCTGCTCTCTCTCTTCTAAATCCTTGCGAGTGAACGAATAGTGGCTGCAGCCTCTGAGCATGGCTCTGAGCTCTGAGTCCCGCTCATGGCTACGGCACATGCGGTCCAGAAGCGAGTCGTACGCGAACTGGAAGGGCAGCTGCGGGAATCCCTCACACGTAATGTTGTTCTTTCGGATCAGATCCGCATCGAGTCTCCTGTACACGTCTTCTGACACACACCGCAACGGCCATTTGTTCTCCTTGCAGAAGGTTTGGTACCCCGAACTGGCCCGCCACTCACGCAAGAGGTCGTCCGTGAGGACCAAGGTGCCTGGTCGTTGATGAATTCCCCCCATGATGATGCAGAAATAGCTGCCTGGGACTCGTCGTTGCTCTTCAAACCAGTTCTGCATTGCCTCAGACTCATGAGTGATGCGGTCACTCGTCTCTGTCAACCTGGCCATCATTGGCTGTCCCTGCTCCATGTATGTCCTCCATGCAACATCGCGACGGTTGACCTTGACGATCTCCTCTCGTCCATTCAAGAGAAACACCCGAACTCCCTGCACCAAATGTCCATCGACGAACTCCCCGTCATGGAACTCTCCGTTGCTGAACTTGACGCATCCCCTCCCAGTGAACTCGAGAAATGATCCCTCCCGTTTCCAGTGGCCGTCGTAGCACCTCACGCGGATTTCGTCCGACCGGTGGTCTTCTTCGAGATACATTCTCGCTCCTCTGCCAAAGAGGCCTCGTATAAATACCTCGTCGATGAAATGCCGATCGAGATCGGCCTTCTTGGCTCCCATCTCCTGTAGCTTGACAATACGTTGCGCATTCTCCCGCTGAACCTGCTGCATATCGACAGGAATCTTGCCGCCGAGCGTTGACGGTGGCTCCCGTACGCTGTACTGGATGGTCGCTGACGGGGGCGGCCGTCTCCCGAGCACCTTCTCCCACGCACTCAAAAGACGCTCCCTGACTCCGCTGGCCGAGGAATTCAGCACCAACCAGGTGAGGTTGGCCAGCTGAAAGAAGAGTTGGATTGTCGGCGTCTTGAAAGACTGCGAGCGCGCTGAGCTATGCTGCTGCTGTCTCTGCTTCTCTCGCCGGTCGCCGTCGTCGGGCGGCCGCTGGCGTGCAGTGCGGTCTCGGCTCTGCTCATGGACCTTTTTCTGTGCCTTTAGGCGCTCTGCCATCAGCTTCCTGCGGGCGTCTCGCTCCTGCTCCCATCGGGCGTGATCGGCACTGAAGGCGGCCGCGTTCGCGTACGGCCTGCCCGGCCCGATTTCCTCCTGCCGTGGCTCGGCCCGAAGCTTGTCCGGCAGGGGAGGCACGTGGATGGTCGAGGGGCCGGCACCGGCCGACATGCATGGAGGGCGAACGCGCGACCAAATTTTCGGGCGGACAAACCGCGCGGGCTGCTACTTTCAATGATAGGGATCCCATACATGAGAGGATTACGCCACACAGTGTCGTTTGAGCCGCAGCCGACGTAAATTGGTCTTTTCAGACACCCCGAGCCCTCCGGGCTCCGCGCAACGCGGCCGCTTCGCCGCCGGCGAAACACCATCAAGCTGCTGTACGGCCCCGGCATCGCCTCCCCTCTGGCGTAGCTAGACTGAGAGATATTGTGCACATGGTCAGTCTCTACAATATACTCATTGACACTGAATCTCCCAGAGCTCGTATAGTTCCGTCACGGCCATCCTCGTCCTCCGGCGGGCCCCCGGCCGCGGCGCGGTGCGGCGGCGTCACAAATCCGAACGCAGAGCACCGGGACCGCGCGGTCGGGTGATCTGAGGCCCAAGTAGGCGTAGCATTGCCCATCCAGGGCTATCACACCTGGACCTACCGTATCAACAGGCGCCTCGGCGCCGTGCTCAGGAGCTGCTGTTCACTCGCTCGAAAATGTGTGCCTGAATGCTGAAAGGGTTAAGGATTCAGATTCGCTATCGTGAGGCAAAAGGGAGTTTATGGATGGGTGAGAACGATGCGCGACCCACGACTCTGTCACGAGGAGGCACACGCGGACCGACTCGTCGCGGCGACTCAATTTTTGTGAACTTTGTGAATTGTGTGCGAAACACACACATGTCCCTAAATCCCATCTCCTCTCAGAGTTTGACCGTTTTATTTATTTATTTACACCGTGAGTGACCGAAAGAGGCGCGAACAACAACAGCATCAACCTCAGCAAGAAAGGACTATGCTTACTGCTACGCGGGGGCCCACGTTGCTCTCCTCGTCGCGCCGTCGACAGTCAGTGCGCCTCCCTGCAGCACACACTGCCCGAGCGCGACGACGTGCGGCCCGTTGCTGCGGTCGCTGAACCAGTTGAGGGGGATCTGCTGCGCGTAGAAGAGGCTCGACTGCCGCCGGCTCGAGCCGAGGACGACCCTCCGGCCGCTCTCCGTCCGGACCGCCACCTCGAGCGACTCGAGCGGCCCGCCTCCGAGGCCGAGCTCGTCCGCGAGCGATTGCGAGAGGACGCAGCCGCTGAGGCCGCTGTCCAAGACGCACAGCACGGGGCGGCGCGCCACCCGCGTCGCTCCGTTGACTGCGACTGCGTCGCCTTCGACGCGGATGCAGACGTGCTCTACTCCGTCGCCAAAGGGGCGCGGGTCGACCAGCTGCAGCGCATCCTCCTTCTCGCCGAGGAGCGGCTCGCTCGAGAGGGTGAGCCTCCGCCTAACATGGTGCAGCACACCAACAGCTCTCATGCGAGTACACAGCATATACGCAGCCTGAGGGCGAGTCTGCGCCGGGGCGCGTCGAGGCTAAAGGAGGAGACGCCGAGCTGAGCGAGCGCGGTCGGCCGCAGGTCCTCCCTCGGGATGGTGCTGCCCGGCTGCGTGCTCACCTGCCGGATCAGCCCGAGCAGCGCACCTCCACTCTGGCTCATCACCGCGCGGTCGGCGGCGCCAAAGACGGCGGCGTACTCGCGTTCGGGCTGCGCGTCTCCAAAGCGCACGCCGCCTTTCAGCCAGCGGACCCGGCCGGGCAGCGCCCCGTACTGCTCGGAGGTGGGCGGGAAGCCCGCGGCGCGGAACCGACCAGGCGAGGCGCACCCGTAATAGGAGAGCCGAGGCGACTGCGCGGCGCACTTTTCCTCGAGCGGCACGACAAGGTAGGGCGAGCCGGTGTCGACAATCAGTCGGAAGCGCTCGCCGTCGATGAAGGCACCCGTGGTCAGGACGCCTCCTCCCATCCTCTCGAGAGGCAGCGATATGGAGGAGGAGGAAGCGACTGGCGCAGCGGCGGTTTCGCCGGGCGCCAGCGACGGCGCGACGCTGGCTGCGGCGGCGGCGAGGAGGCTGGAGCGGGCCAGTCTCATATATGCGGAGGCGGGCTGGGCGGCGGAGAGGACTGGGCGGCGTGCGGCGACGGCTGCAGCGGCGTGGGCAGCGGCGGCGACGGATGGCCGAAGTGAGAGGACCGAAATTTTCTGCAGTTGTGCGACGCCTCAAAGCACCGCCGCCGCGCCCAGTTTCTTTTTTAACACGGACCGGTGTTGGGGCGGTCTGTCGTCCACCACACGCAGCAGATCTCCATGGCGGCGGTGGCGGGCGACGCCGAAAACGTCAACAAGCAGGCGCGCAATGCGAGTACCGACTGGCTCAAATCCCCTGGGCGTGCCAACTGGGTCAACGACGTCAAGAACAAGCAAGCAAGCGGCAGAGGTCCTCTTACCCTCGACCCCAGCCAGTGGGGGGCGCCCAGCCGCCCACGCTGCCTAACTCCGCGGACGCTCCACCCTTCACGTACGGATCATGTAGTCCCCACACTCGCTGTCGTGGGATCGGTGAGCGTGCGTTCTGCTTTGAACGGAAATTCTCTTCCGTGGCGCGCCCACTGCTTACTCGAGTAGACAAACATCTCACTGAGACACACGGAGCACTTGGAGTGCAGACTGGCGCGGACTGGCACACACACCGGCACACAGAAGCTCGGGCCGGTCGCGACTCAACCAGGAAGCTATTCGGCGCACGCACACGCTGATCGACTCTCGCTCGCTGCCACCGGACGCAGCATTATACATGTGTATATGTCGCGCGCTGCGCGCCGCGCGGAGAGCCTCATCCGCTCCGTGCGTGCTCTCGAGCACATCATCGAGCGCAAGCGCGGCCTCGAGGATGCCCTCCCGCGGGCGAGCGCCGGGCTCGAGGCGCGGGCTGGCGGCGTCATCCACGACACCGTCGCGGGCACGCTGAGGCACCTGCACCAGTACGAGCGTCGACTGGACGCGGCGGCTGCTGCGGCTGCAGGCGACCGCGCCTGGAGGGCGGTCGAGGACATGCCTCTGCGCCTGCTCATGGCCTCTGCGCTCTTCCAGTGCGAGCACACTCCGGCCTCGGCAGCGCACGTCGTCCGCAGCGCCACGGAGGGCTGCGCACAGCTCGGGCGCGCGTGGGCGCAGGCGCCGATCGAGTCAGTGGTGCGCAACGCCGCTGCAGGGCGTGGCTTCTTCTCGCGCGCCGGCGCCGCCGAGCGGCTGTCGCTTCCGGCGTGGCTGCACGAGGACCTCGTGTCGAATCTCGGGGCGCGGCGCCTGGACGCCTTCGGCCCGCTGCTGCTGCAGCGCCCGTCGCGGCTCCACCTCGCGGTGGCAAGCTCCGCCGGCTCGCCCTCCGAGTACGCCGCGAGGCTGAGCGAGGGGAGCGGCGTGGCGGCGAGGCCTCTCGAGTTCACGCGGTTCGGCGTCTCGCTGCACGCGCGGCCGCGGGACGTCGGGTCGCTGCCCGGGGTGGCGAGCCGGCGCGTCTTCGTGCAGGACGGCGCGCAGCAGTGGGGCGTCGGCCAGCTCTCTCCCGTCGGCGCAGGCGAGGCGGTGCTCGACTTGTGCGCGGCGCCGGGCGGCAAGAGCAGGGCGCTGCTGCTGCACCAGCCCGCCGCGCGGCTGGTTGCGGTCGAGCGGTCGCGGCGCAAGGCGGCGGCGCTGCGCGAGAGCCTCGCAGGGGAGGGGCGCGCCGCCGTGGTGTGCGGCGACGCGACGAGGCCGGAGGAGTGGGCGGCGGCGTGTGGCGAGGGCGGCGCCTCGGCCGTCGTCCTCGACGCGCCGTGCTCGGCGAGCGGCATCCTGCGCACCCGGCCCGAGGCGAAGGTGCACCAGTCGCGGGAGAGCGTCGAGGCGCTGTGCGAGACGCAGCAGCGGCTGCTGAGGGCGGCGTGGTCGCGCCTCGCGCCGGGCGGAGAGCTGCTGTACACCACCTGCTCGCTGCTGCGCGCCGAGAACGAGGAGGCGGTGCAGCGCTTCGCAGCGGAGGCGCCAGGCGCGACGCTCGCGCCGCTGCGACCGCCGCGCGGCGCGCTGAGCCGCGCGCAGCCGCAGGGCGTCACCTTCCTCCCGAGCGAGGAGCACCAGGGCGGCTTCGTCGCGCTGCTGCGCAAGGGGGAGAGGGGGCAGGGGAGAGGAGGCAGGGGCGGGGGAGACTCCTCGAGGAGGAGAGGTGGGTCTCGGAGTACTAACAGCGGCCGCGAATTTCTTGCAACGCTCTCTATGCAAGAGGTCAGTTAGCGTGACGCCTGTACGACCCCTCTCCGTGACTGTCGGTGTACACTTGACTCTGTCTCTCTATCTCTCTCGTTTCGCGTTGTGTTAGATGTGTTCGTGTGACGTGTGGGGGAGAGATAGAACGGTGAGAACAGATCGATATCGCGCACGAGCGCGTGTGCTCTAGTTCGATGTACATGGCCCTTTTTGTCGGTGTGTCGCTCTTTGGACTTTGCGCATGCGCTTTGCGGGCACAGTCCACACAGAGACTAAAGCCGAAACCGGGGGGACCTCGCTGTCGCTCCCTAAATGTACGTTGATTTGTGTGAAACCGCCATACTTTGATCGTGCATGTCTCGCATGTGGAGACCCTGCAGCTGCACACACGGTACGGGCATGCTCACACGCTCACCTATGGCTATGCAGGATCGTCACGTCCTAACTTTGGCCCCTTGTATCACTTTGGCATCAGGCGAGGCCGCAGTCTGAGCGTCGCCGCCGGGCGAAGCGGCAGCGGCGGCGGCGAGTACTCGACAGCCTGCAGCTTGAAGGCTCTCATCGTCCCGCCGAGTGCGTCGCGCGGGTCGTCCGACTCCCTCTCGGGCCCGGTGAGCAGGCCGTTGGAGCGGAGGAAGTCGAGTGTCGCGCGACGCCCTGCAGCGCAATTCACGGCGCCGCCGCCGTGACCCGCCTCCTCAAAGATGAGCTGCGTGACGTCATTCCCGGCGCCGCGAGCCGCCTCTGCAAAGCGAGTCGTCTGGTCACACGGCACGACCTGGTCCGCTCCGCCCGTCAGCAGCAGCATCGGAGGCAGCTTTGGCCTCGACGCGAACCAGAGAGGCGACACGGACGCCGCATCATCGGAGGGGTATGCGGGTTGGGGCAGAAGCCCGCCGAGGCGGCGCCCGAAGAGGAGGAAACGGCCCGCGAGGACCTGCCGGAGCCGCGCCTGCGTCCTCTCGGCGGAGTCGCCGTACTCGGACGGGACGAATGCGCTCTCGACAGGAAAGTCGTCACCGGCCCCGGTGGCCTCCCACGCGCCCTCAGCTGTGCGCGTCGGGACGTAGCTGCGCGAGCCGAGCGTCGTCACAGGCCAGTTGCCTACAGCACAAAAGAGCAGCTCGACTGCCCGCGCGCCGGCTCTCGGCCGCTGCGGCGGCGGGAGGTTCCAATCACAGCCGCAGGAAGCTCCTCACTCGCAGCCACACCCGCTCCAACACGCAGGCCCGTTCCCAGGGAGGTGGCCAGCAGGCCGCCCGCGCTGTCCCCGGCGACGACCACCCGCGATGGGTCAATGTTGAGGCGCCCCGCATTGGCCCGCGTCCAGCGAAGCACGGCCCACGCGTCTTGGATGCAGCCGGCCACGCCATCACCGCTGTTGGTCAGGCGGTAAGAAGCGGACAGGCAGACCGCGCCGTGCGACGCGAAGAAGCCGCACACACCAGCCCCGAAGCTGCGGTGGCCCGCAATGAAAGCACCCGAGTGGAAGTAGACGATGGCGGTGCGAGGCTCGCCCAGAGAGACGCTCTCCGCCTCGGGCTCGTAGATGTCGACGCGGCCGCTCGAGGTGCCATCTGAGTATGTCTCAGTCCGGTCTGGCTCGGGCACGCCCTCTCTGGTCAGCGTGCGCCTCACCAGCTTACCGACGGCCGCATTGCCCGCGGCCAGCACCGGGCGGGAGGTGAGCGGACCCTCGAGAAACGGACGACCGAGGAGGACGTAGTGCAGGTTGAGGGCTAGGGCCGCGGCGAGGAGCGAGGCGATGGTCGGAACGGGCAGAAGCATCGGGCATGGATTTCGCGGGTGGGGGGCCGACAACAGTAGTTACAACACCACTCTAGGGCACACACACATTCACCTTTCTACCTACCTACCTACACTCTCTCAAAAACCGCTGTTAGAGGGGCGGCGCCGAGGGATGCTCAAACTAGGGGCGTAGACCTTACTCAAACAAAGTCAGGAGGCTTAAGCGGGCGCCGTGTGGGGACACCGTCTGTGAACACGCCGATCTGACAAAATCCAAGTGCCTCTATCGAATCAGAGCGGTGTCGGCGCTGTCCCTCCTTTTCCTCCCAGCCAGGGAGGACCGCAGGTCGAGACCGCAGAACCGCCCGTCCCCGTCCGGGACGACCGACGTCCGACCGACCGACCGACCACTCCGGCACCGCCGCGTTAGCTAGACTGAGTGAGAGACCTTGTGCACATTGGATCATTGGTGTGGTCTCCAATACAAAGAGTACACTCGCACTTCACCTCCCAAGGCTCACGGACGGCCGTCCTCGGCCTCCGGAGAGCCTGAGCCCTGGTGTCGAGGTGTCGAGGCCCGGTGCGCGAGGGTGTCGAGCTGCTGTCGAGGGGTAGAGGTGTCGAGGCCTGTCGAGGCCTGTCGAGGCCTGTCGAGGCAGCGGTACCATGCTTGCCAGTGTCGAGGGGTGTCGAGGGGTGTCGAGGGGTGTCGAGGGGTGTCGAGGGTGTCGAGGGTGTCGAGGGTGTGGTGCCAAGACATTCGTAAAATTGAAGCCAAGAACGTCCGCCAAATCCGTGCTTTCGGAGCAACTGAGGGAAAGCCGCTGATCGAGCCCAGCGTGCCCGCGGCCGCCTCCCGCGCAGCACCGCCGCTGGGGACGACACGCTGCGGAATCGGATCGAGCCCATGGCCATGCACCGGGCAAAGAAGGACGCTGCAGAAGCGGTTGGAGAGGCAGCCGGCGTCTGCCGTCACAACGAGTCCCAGCGCTGGTTGGACATGCGCGTCGGCTCGCCCGAGGACTGCTGTCGCGACCCTCCCGTCGTGCCGCAGCCTCCGACGAGCTCTGCAACCGAGGAGAGTGAGGGTGCACCTCCCCTCACTGCTGGCCTGGCTGCGCACCGCCCCACAAAGCTCCCCCTCGAGCATCTCTACAGCAAGTACAAGCCTACAAGGGCGACCTTCTCCAAGTCGTCAACGCGCCCGGCGGCTCCGGCAAGATTTTAGCCTTGGCCACCCTCCTTGCGGAGCAGGAGGAGATCCGCTCTCGGTCGGCAACGCGGCAGCTAGTTGAGAGACTCGGTAGTTGTGACCCCCCTTGAGTGAGGACAGGAGAGAGAGAGTTTTTGTGGTGTTGGTGTACGTACGCAATAACGGGACAGACAGGGTAGTCGTTCTTTCTCTCTAGCTCCCCTTCTAGCTCTTAGCATGAGCTGCGCCCTGTGTCCGACCCCTTTTGCGCAGCAACACCTTAAACTTTTAGGCCCTCCAAATTCGGGTCGGAGCGTAGCGGAGGGAGAGAGAGATTTTTAGCAATACCAAACAACTCTAACACTCACACGTAATTTGGGGCCTGGGGGGGGTGGGCCCCGAGTTTGAAAAGAAAGGGCGACTGCGTCCTAGCCTGTAACAACGCCTCCCCGGCGCAGAGGGGCCCCGGAGGGATGCTCAACCGCTCCACGCCACGCCGCTTGCGGCGGTCCTATTCCCAGCTCCGCTGAGGGCCCGCAATCATTGGGACGCAGGAGAAAAAAGAAAAAAGTCCGCCTGAGAGGTACGCAGCAGCAGTGCAGTGCTGGAAACACACATGCCACGCTCTCGCGCACGCCCGAAGCGAGCCAAGTCGCGGCCAAAGGTGCGGCAGAGGAGCAAGGGGAAGAAGACGGTCCTGCCTTCTGAGAACAGCGGTGCCATCACCAACAGCTCTCACCTTTCAAAGTATGACGTCTCCAAGTCGCAGTACGAAAACTACAAGGATCTCGGCCTGCTCGCGGATGCCAACCAGATTGGAGCGGTTCGCGGCAGCATCCGTGGCTTCAAGCCACGGCTCAAGGGTCCGACCGCGGAGCCGACCGGTGAGCGCGCGCTCGCGCCAGTGCCGCCGCGTGCGTCAGCCTCTGACCCGCCTCGGCCGGCGGCTGCTAGGCGAGGAGCACCACCCGCTGGAGGACGAGGTGAGGCCTTCGGTCCCGACCTGCCGGCCGGTAAGCTGGCCCGCGCGACGCCACACGCCGCGTCGCGGCCCGGCCGCCCGCTCGACGCCGCCTGCCGCCGCCGCCGCAGGTGCCGGCGGGCGAGAGGAAGGTGCTGCAGGACCTGGTCTCGCGCCACGGCGACGACTACGCCGCGATGGAGCGCGACATGAAGCTCAACACGCACCAGAAGACGGCGCCGCAGCTGCGACGACGCATCGCAAAGGTGCGGCCCGCCCCGCCCATAGTGAGAGGGAGTCGGAGGGGCGCAGGCCGACCCCAGCGTATATGCCATTGCAGATGCGCGACGAGGACAGCGCCGCTGCGCTTGCGGCAAGCGAGGCGGAGGCGGCGGGCGCTGCCGCACCGGTGCGGCAGAAGCGGAAACGCACCAAGAATCCGAACCGTGCCTTCAAACGGAGAAGCACGCACTTTTGCTAGTGTTACAAGAGATATCGAGAGCGGACATGTTTTGTGATCTGTGATGTGAGGGTCCGCCCGCAGGCGCATTTTTTATACCGAGGCAGTGTAATGCCCGGTGCCGAGCGCAGGCAGAGCCCACAGGTCGGACCTTAAGACAGCGTTGTAGATCCCTGCACCCTGGGCGAGGGTGATGGCGTCCCCCCGCGACGCGCGGCGACGCCGACGGCCCGGACGGGTTGCTTCCCGCCCAGGATTAATTTAGTCTTCTCTGCCTGCGGGAACACCCTCGGGCGGCCGGGTGGGGCTGCGGCTGGAGCTAGCATGGCTCGATAGAGCCGAGACCCCGTGTTGAGGCGGCGCTCCTGTGGGCGGGCTGTGGAATCGACAGATTCGACCTCAGTGCTCAGATCTCAACAACAAAAGATCTCTCAGATCTCCAGTATTCTCATCCCAGTGGATGGACGTCCGTACGTCCCTTTGTGTTCCTCTCGCCGTCCGCCAGCAAGACGCTCTGTCGCTGGCGGCCGCAGCTTTCTGTGACCCACCCTCCTCTCCCTTGTGTTTTGTCTGGGGAGGGGCTTCTCCTGCGGAGTCGTGCGTGCGCAGGGCTCCTCTTTGCTTTCTTCTACTCCCTACTATCATCTCGTTCCCGTCCTACCAGAGAACGGGCTGTCCACCTGCACTAGGGGGTGGACAGCGCCCCGGCAAAATCCACCAGTGTAGGATTTCGCGCAATCGCTTGACACTGAAAAGCTCGCATATCCCTGCGGTGAGCGCTGTGGTCGCCGCAGACTGGCTCCGACTTGACGGCGGCATGGAGACGTGATGCCTCCATGGGCCGCCGTCGAGTCAAAATCGACAACGACATGCGAGTCGATCTTTGGCCCGCCAGAGGGTGAGAGGGATATGCGGCGTTCGGGTGACAAACAGCGCTGCGACCGCGAAGTGGCGGTGGACATGCTCCCATGTTGCCGACGCGGCGCCGGAGTGGCCGGCGCTGCTCGCCGCGACCACGACGGCTACTCCGATGCTCCGGGCCGACCCGTCCTACCCGACGGCGGCACTCTTCCACGTCTCGCTCACGCTGAGAAAAAGTCTGAACGGCGTGCAGCAGAGTCACCGACGAGTCGGTCCGCGTGCTTCCTCGTGTCCCGTACCGTTCTCACACATCCATAAACTCACTTTGGCCTCACCAGTTGGTTCCTCTCGGCGACGCCCAATGCGTGCGCCGGCAGTGGGGAGTGTGCGCGCGCGTGTGTGAGGTGTGGATTGTGGCAGGCCTGCTGCTGCTGATGGGAAGTGTGCTCTGTGTGTGGCGCTGCGCTGGCGTGCGACGCGCGTGCTGTGCACGAGTGCGTGATGGGGTCGCGCGTGCGTCTGCGTGTGCTGCGCGCGCGCCGCCGGTGTGTGCTGTGTGCTGTACTCTGCTGTGCGCCCTGTTTGTGAGGCTTTGAGGCGCAGGCCTGGTTGGCAGGGCTGCGCGGTGGGCTGCGGCGCGCTGCGGGTGGTCGTGCGCCTGGTGGAGGTGTGCGGCGGCCGCGCAACCCGCCCGACCGGGTCGTCGGCGGCCCAGGGCGCGAGCATGCCAATGCGCGCTGCAATGTGGGGCTTCTGCGCGGCTGGCGTGTATGTTTCCGTGCGATGAGGGACGCGCGTATGTGTTCACGCTGCGGGCGCGGGCGGGCGCGGAGGGCGGCGCGGTCTCACCGCGGTCCGACGCCGATTGGTCTTCGGCGTGACGAGGGCGGGCACGCAAGAGGCCTTGCATGCGCGTTGCCGCGTCGGCAGAGAAAAAAAACTGGCAGCAGCAGAACATTTGCACCGCTCAAAAAAAAGGGACACAGCGTGCGCCAAGGAGTGGGTTGGGACCTTGTTGGGAGGCGCCTGTGTTTGGCAACCCTCTCTCTCTCTCTTGGGCACACAGGGGAGACCGAGGCCTCCGCACCGCCTCGCGAAAGGGAAGCAACGATCAACTCCCACACATGTGCACCGTTGGAGAATTTTCCGCTAGGTCTTCACACACAGGAATTGAAGCCTCTTCTCGGTCCCTCTCCAAAAAAAAGAGCTGAACGGCGTGTCGTGCCGCCAGAGAGGCGCTGTGTTCCGCCTCTGTTTGGCAACCCACTTCGGCAGCCCTCCCCGCCTCTTCGCCCACGCGGTGCCACTCCCTTTCCGCGCGCGGCGCCCAGGCCACACGGACGGCACCCGGACCACCCCCACACAGGCACGGCCGATCGCGCAGGTGCTCCGCCGCTCGTGGGTCGTGGCGAGATGCGGACCAGCAAGAAGAAGGAGGACAGCGAAAACAAGAAGCACCGCTTCGTCGACATCTCGCGCTCCGCTCTCTTCATCCAGGCCCGCTTCCGCCACGCCAAGACGGTCTTCCGCGACTTTGGCCCAAGCGTTTTCTGCAACCGCATGGGTGACCCGTGCGACCATGGGGACATCGTCTTTCTCTCGGATCGCGCGGCCAAGTACATCGTCCTGTCCGAGACGTCGTCCACGGGCCTCCTCTCCAAGTTTGTCGAGGGCTTCTGGGGCGTGAGCAAGCCGGAGGTTCTGATCTCGGTCACCGGCGGCGCGCGCGACTTTGAGCTCTCGCCGCCGCTCGCCCGTGCCTTCAAGAGCGGGCTCGTCGAGGCGGCGACGTCGTCGCGGGGGTGGATCGTGACGGGCGGCACCGACACCGGCGTGATGAAGCTCGTCGGGGACGCCTGCCTCGAGTCGCACCTCTCCGTGCCCGTCATCGGCATCGCGCCGTGCGCCGCCTCTCGGGGGGGGAGAGGCGCGGTCGAGCACCCGCCCCCTTCACACGGCGCCGCGCTGTGACTAGGTACGGCGCCACAAACGGCAACGACAAGCTGGCTGGCCAGTTCCGGCGCGTGGTGTACACCAACGTGCCCTCGCCCTCCAAGGACGGCGCACCGCTGAATGGCGGGCACACTCACTTCCTCCTAGTCGACAGCGGGCTGGCGGGGCGCGGCGCGTGGGGAACAGAGATCAAGCTGCGCTCGCGGCTGGAGAACTTCTACGTGGAGCGCAAGGGCGTCCCGAGGGTGGTCCTCGTGGTCAACGGCGGGCCGGGCACCATGGAAACCGTCCTCGAGGCGGCTCGCGCCCCGTCCCCCATCGTTGTGGTTGCCGACTCGGGCGGCGCCGCAAGCGCAATCTCGCGGTACTGCAGCATCTCGCGGGACAGCGTCTCGCGGGACGCTAGGCACGGGGAGGCGATGGCGGGCCTCGCAAAGGACTTCCCCGCCTTCGCCAACGACAGGATGGCCGATAAGCTCCTCGAGCTCTCTCAGCTCAACGACGACTGCGGCGGCGAGCCCACACCTC